TTGGAATGAAGTATGAACTTTGACTAGGCCATTCCAGTTCTTCCCTATACTTTTATTTATGCATTCCATTATTGCTCTGTGTTTATGTTGATGGAAAATGAACGTCTGTCCAAGACTTGACTTGTCTGATACCCCAGACAGGTTTTCTTTATGCACTGACCTCCAACGCCATCTATCCTCCAGTTGTCTCTGGCCAGTTTAACTGTCCCTGCTGAAGAAAAGCATTCCCACAGCATTGCCGTCACCACCGTGTTAGTGTGTTAATTTCCTACAATGTAACGTTTTGCTTTCAAGGCCAAAGCCTTAATTTGTTCTTTTCATTATCAGAATCCATTTTTCGTATGTGCTGTGTCTCCTACATGGACTGTGTCAAACAGCAAATTGAGCTGCTTATTAGTTTTTCAATAAAGCCCAGATTTGCGAGATGACGACCAAAGAAAAAAGTAATTATTTACTGCTGCCTGACCCCAGAGAAGCGGAGGACAATGGATGGATGGAAAAGTAATTATTCTTCAAAATTTCTGTTTATTTCTTTGTTTACTGGATACAAAATGAACCTCATGATGGGGAGGAGGGGAAACAAAAACCCTCTAGTCTTATATTAACAGGTCCAGTCAGCTGGGAGAACCTGCCTGTGGATCTTAGCCTGGGCCAATTTAAAAATGTACCTCATTTCTTATGAAACCAGGACCGGTGGGGCTTCTTTCATTATGGGCTTCAGTTTGCCGCCAGCAAAATAATACACCAAATTTTCAGAGTATTTAGTTTTCCTGTCGTCAAACATTTCAAGTGAAATCCAACTTGAAATCTCATGAAGCGACGCAAGATGACCAAAGTGGACCCACAAACAATGTCAGATTTGTGTATTATTAGCAGATGTGGTGCGTAACTCTGCTTTTCTCCACATGTCCTACTCCAGCCCAGGTGAGCTACTAACCTGCAGCTTTTAGAGGGCGTCCCTTCTCCAACACACCCGAGTCACATGAACGCCTCTGCAGAGCTGAGTGACTTGTTAACGGGGAATGCATTCGTTAGATTCAGGTGTGTTGGAGCAGGCATCCATCCAAACGGCACCAAAGGTAAGATTACAGAGGCGTTAAAGTGATTGGGTGTTTGGGATTTTGACACAAAGTTTCTGAAGGACTGAATCCTTGAAGCATGGCTCCAATCCATTTACAAGACGGCTGCTTACTGTAAAACTAATTAAAGCAGACAATTTTATTTAAAGAAAGCAAGAGGGAATAACAACCAGTGGAGACAACATGGACATCAGGACTGTATCAATAATGAGACAAAAGTGTCATCTGTAAAGCAGTAAGATACCAAAATGTGAGTTTGAGACCAATAACGAAATAAACCCTAGAGAGATGGTTTCAAAATTGTCAACACTGGGAGTTTGAGTAAATGATTGATGCCTATTAAAAATTTGGCAAACGGCTCCTCCAGACACAAAATGCCTCCTGCAGCTTGTTTTCCAACAGCTCCTCTGCATACAGCGCACAGGTGTGGAGTTGCAGCTGCACTCTGGCTCTGAGGGGGAAGTTGCGCTAAACACAAGTAAATGGTCTTTATTCTGGTGAAGGGGACGGTAACTCTTAGTGTTGCTGAAAATGGTCAGTGGACACTATAGTAATGTGTTGAATCAGGTCTGGTAACAAGCTGGCCAATCAGGATAGGAGGGCTGTGTGGCATAACAGAGAAATGCTGAACTATCATTCTATGTAATCTAAGACAAGTAATTGTACAGTAATCAAATAAGATGACTGTAAAATTCCTCCTCCTATACATTTCGCATGACATTGGCAACATTATCATAATGAAATGGGTTGGTTTTTTTTTCAGCAGTTACAGCTAAGCTGGTCAAAGTTGATGAGAAGATGGATGGAGCCAAATATAGAACAATGCTGGAAGAAAACCTGCTAAAGGCTGGAAAAGACTTCAGAGGGGAGGCTGACATGGTTTACAGAAACCTGAAAATAATTTCAAGGTTTTGTTTAAGAAGAAAAAGTATTCTTGTCTTTTCACTTTATATTTTTATTCCTATTTGTATTGGCCTCTCAGTGGTGGATTAAATGAAACATGAATGAAGGAATGCAATAGATAAGCCATCATACAAAATCACAACGGAGCACATGGATGATGATGTTTGTGAGGTGGAAAAACTAAACCATCCTCGCAAGGTACTGTTTAATTTCTGATGTTTTTAAAAAAAAAAAAAAAATCTGTCAGCATAATTGGCATCAGCTGCTCAGTGTAATTAAGTTTGTTCAGGAAATTGGCTCTTATGTTTACAACACGTTTTGCGGAGCTTCATTGCATGTTTGCGTTCTATTTTTCCTCTCTGAAGATGGACTTTCCCCCTCTGTTTATTTTAACAAATGTGTAACAGCATTCTATTTTTTTTTTTTTTTAACGTGTCTTTCAAATGATAAGTGAAATTTCAGGCCTACAGGAACATAACAAACATCACTTGGTTTTGAAATCATAAAAAAATAATATATTTCCGAATGTTTTTCATCCACTCGGACAGCCTGGAGCTGTGTCATATCTTGCTGGTTGATTGAGCGCCTCTAGCCTGGGGTCAATTCCTCTGAGCGCTGCGTGAGTCACATGGTCTCCTGCCCAATAATGTCACAATGAATGACGACCCTCCAGCTGCCTGTCGAGTTCTTTATGGCAAGAAACTACCCGGCACCTCCCAATATGAGCCACGTTATCAAATCAAAAAGTGTCTACTTCGGTTTTCCGCATGTCTACAGGAACATTTTGTCTGATGTCACTTAATACTCCCAGGAGAAGGTTGAACAAGGTTTTGGTCAATAATAACATTCTAAATCTGTTGTACTGTTACGTGCAGGTGTGTGGTGCCATGTCCCAATTCCTTATGTCCTCTAAGTCCCCTCCTGCCTGTTTTTAGAAAGAAGTCGGGCCTCAAACCCTTTAGCTGGGGTGTCTGTTTCAAGACAGCTGCTGACAGCTCAACTGAACTTGAGAAGTCTTAAGTCTGACAGAAGGAAGATCGTTGTAGTCTTCGCCCGGGACGCCGTGGCCTTTCCGCGCTCGTGTCGGCTCTTATTGTTGGAGCGTTCGCCTCCTCTCCCTAATTTCAGTCCAGCAGCAGGGATTCAGATGTGGGTTGTTCCTGTGATTCTGGGCATGTTAGAAATGCCATGCTGTCACAGACCTGCCGTCTCGCCTGCAATCTTGGGCTTTGGTTCTGCATTATTTGAAATTCTCCCCTGTGACGCTTATGATTAATTTTAATGACTGAATTTTGGCATTGTGAGCGTAATTTAAGATATTTTATTGAAGGGAATATATATATTTTTAAACTTGCTGTTTGCTGTTTAACACCAAACATACGGTACCTTGCAAAATTGTTTACATTCTTAGATATTTATACTATGTCGCTTCACGACCACAAACTTCAATTGATAGACCAGTAATACAAAGTAGCATATAATGCAGTAGTAAAGCTAACACTACAAATCATCCTAAATGAAGCATATGCATGGAGCCACATGGCGATGGTGGCCTGATGCTGTGGGCGCTGCTCATCTTCAGTCGAAGGGTTTTTCATATGTCGGAATGGCCTAGTCAAAGTAAATACAAATGCATGTTATGCTTTTCAGATATGTGTTTGATCAGTTTTGAAAAGCATGTTTCATTTTCCAATTCTGCACTACTTTTTGTTAGTCTATTGTCTAAACTTGAACTTTGTGGCGGTGATTTGACAAAGTGAAAATATTCAGAGGTTACAAGGCGGAGCAAATCACACTTTGAAACTCAACCAACTTGTTACCTTTAGGTTTTGTTCTCACTCCAAAATGTAATATTCAACATGCATCCAAACAGTGGACAGCTACGTCGGGACGGATCAGCAGCCTGGTTTATGTGGAGCTAAACCACTCGCACATGGAGTCATAACTCTGAAGAGCTATAATTCAAATATCGGATTGCCTTGCATGTTTTACAGCTCATATCTGCTCCTAGTTTAAATGACAGCCAGCTGTTACCGCGAGCTATTTTTGTGGAAGCACTAATATTTCCTTGGTAATAAATTAATTTGATAGCATGCATGTCATACTTGGACGCGTTTTCTTTCCAGAACATTTACGCCTGAGAATGAGTGTTTAAACTCTACACTTGCTCAGACAGAGCTGGTTCAAAATTGTATTGGCAAACTGAGGAGAATTTACATTGAGTGTTAATATTATGCTGATAATTTCCTATGTATAAATCCCTATGCCATATATACATCTAAATAAATAAGAATATTATCAAATTCAAGTTGAGTTATACATGTCAGCTTAACGCCTTTGTAGGTTCATTACATACTCGAACACATATTTTAGGCATGACCAAAAACTTAAACTTAAAAAAGTGTCCCTATGTAAACAAAGCACTGAACAATTTTTCTTTATTTTTTATTTTTTTCAGCCTGGAGAACATTTGGAGCCCTCTGCCACAGATGCATGGGCACCCGTCTTGTTCTGAAGCGGTCAGTTGTTCTTCAGAGTCAGCTGTTTACCCCGTATACTTTGCACTGACTGGATACTTGAGGTTTCCAGCAAGCAGCCATAAACTACTGTCAGCCGTGCCTCACCGTCGTCACCAATCCACACTTGTTTTGACCTCCTATAAAGGCTAAAACTGTGAGCATTTTACACTAATTGATCACGAAGGACATTCATTCTCTCGCTCTGCTAATTTAAAAAAAAAAAAGAAAAAAAAAAGAAAAACGGGACCTCCTCCATGGGTGAAAAGCCACTATCTCAGTAATTGGAAAAATTGGAGCACTATCCTAGATGAGAAATCAACGCAATATTAACCCCTCCCCTCCCCCCGCCAGCCGAACACCCGGGGGCACTGTTGCGTTTGTGTGCGTGGGAGACGATCATCATTTGATGTTTATAAAGCAAGATATAACCCTTTAATTTATGACTGATCAATACAGCCTCTTCTTTGCGACGTGCGTCACAGACGTGCAATAAAGACGCAGAGGCGCAGTTTAGCAGCCAAAGCAGTGCAAGGGACCAGTTCAGCTCCTGGAACATTTTTTTAATTTATTTATTTTTTTAAAGAAGGGAAGAAAAAAAAAAAACATCGTAGCGATCTCGCAGCTCCTCTGTCCGTCTTTATTATTAGCGCTTGGCTCCGCCCTCCTACCTGTAAATCTCCCCCCGCTCTCCTCTCCTCTGGAGCGGATCTGACAGGCTCGCTCAGCTGGCCGCTCCGTGCCAGGGCTGCAGGGGGACCGAATGGAGGCAGCGACATCCACCCGAGCGGCGCGCCAGTCCTCTCCTTAACGCAGAATCGACAACCCAAACCGCCTGTTTGAATATGTAGTCTTCTGACCTGCGTTTATTTTGTTTCCCCCCCACCTCCCTCAACCTTAAGGACTGAATTACACGCAAAGCGTTTACAGCCAACTGAAGGAGAGTTCAAATCGATTCTTCATCCGCTGATCGGCAGGATTCTTGAATGGAAGACGGCTAGGGAAGGAGCACAGCCGGGAAATTTGTTTTTTATATTGTTTTTTATTTTTATTTTTTAATCCTCTGCTGTTTGTGTGTCTGCATTATCAGGAGAGAGAGAGAGAGAGAGAGAGAGGGAAAAAGAAGCAACAGCAGCCTCGGCGGCTGCAAACGACGCCGTAACTGTCACGGCATATGGCGTGAAAGAGGCAGAAAAGCCCCTCAGAATGAGAAGCGCCTAAGATTCGTCGTTATTATTGCGGATTTAAATGCCTCACTCCAAGGGGCCACCGAGGCGCTATTTTGGTCTGCTTTGCGTGCGCGGCGGCTCACACTGTCATTAATAATAAACAGTTCTCTGGCATTAGAAACTATATATTTATGAAGATAATCTGGTGGGGCTGTCAAAATCTAGTGCAAAAATAAAAGGGGTTTGGGGGGGCGGGGGGAGGGCTGTATATATATATATATATTTCGTTCTTTCTGTTTTTTAAAGCAATATGGCTGGTGAGTGGGGCTGGGGACGCTGGCACAGGCTCTCCAAGGCTCCTCAATGCTAGCCGAGGCACATGGCACGGATCCCCATGGAAGCGACAGCTCTATGAGGACAAGCAGCATCGATAATAACAACAATCCGGACTCTTCGATCTTAATATCCAAGATGGAAGGCGTTGTCATCCCCTACACGTCTGAGGTGCCATGCGACGACTATGGACAGCGCATGTGGTGGGCATTCCTCGCCTCCTCCATGGTGACGTTTTTCGGGGGTCTCTTCATCATCCTGCTATGGAGGACCCTGAAGTATCTGTGGACTGTCTGCTGCCACTGCAACATAAAAAATAAGGTAATGGCTGGAAACTGTGTGAGCAATCGTGTACCACGCAGAAGCACTGATGCAAGATGCTGTGGGAGTCAGAATTGGATTGTTTTATTTATTTATTTTTTATGTATCAAATGGTTTTTGGTGTTATTTTGGACAATATAAAGACACACGAGGCGCCTGTTGCAGTTGTGAACACACCGTGGTTGTTGTTTTCCTCTGGCTGTTTACTCCCACTCTGACATGAAGGGGGTGATATTGCATGAGGGATATGGGTGGAATAAGAGCAGAGGGATTCCTTCATTTTATTTTGCACTCGCAGAGGCGGCTCAAGGTTATAGGAACCCCTAGGGAGAATTACCTTTTTTTTTGTCAGGGGTGGGGGAGGTGTCTGAGTTTCCACCATTTTCACTTTTATACAGAGGTTTTCTCAGGTCAGAGGACATGTTGCTCAATGATCCATGCATGCTTTGAAGCTGGAAATGGAAAAAAAAAAGAGTAAGAATAAAAATAAACCACATGACATAGAACCTGTTATTTTTGTCATGACAGGATACAAATTTTGCTCTTTCAGAGTTAAAAATAGAAAACACTTTTTCTCATCTTTTTTTAACACCTAAAATTATGCTAATGAACTATATGTTATGCAAAAAGCATTTGGCCATATGAGATTCCTTCTGTTTTTGTAATTACGTCCTAGAACTTTCAGGTCTCCTTTGAGATTTATTTATTTTTTTTAGCTGAGAGCAGGATTTATTGTTCAATCAATAATAACAAATATTTTACTATTACGCTACATGTTTGTGAGTAATCAGGTCCAAGTGTCCTTTGTGAAATTTGACAAGAAAAATTTGGTTATTCACAGTTACATCAGTCATATCTTACGTGATTAAAATAAAGACGGAACGCACGGGGAAAAAATGTCTGCAATCATTTGTAAGCCAATTTGTTACGAAATGCTAATTCCTTAATTATTATTTCTAAAATACATCTGTGATGAGATTCACCAAACTATTTTAAGACTTCTTTTGACCGATTTTTATTTATATATTTATTTTCGTTAACTTGTAAAATTGAAAGGCTGAATTCAAAAGTGATATTTTTAATAGATATCAGCTGGTTGATATAGTTAGTGTCACTGATTGTGTCCGCTAGTTGCGGACACAATTATTTATTTATTATTTATTTATGCCATTTATACAACACACTCACTTTGAGTACAACCATATTTATGACAGGAGTGTAGAAAACATCTGATATTCTCATCAGGCTATGTTTGGTTGGCTGTTTTACATTCTGTTGTAATTGTAAAGATGTGCCATCACTTGTTTGAGGTCTGTGGTAGTTGTTGGTTGAAAAGCCTTTCAATTCACATCTTTTTCAGTCCCCACTGTTGGTTGTTGTATTGGTGCAAACCGACTGACGTTAATATAATCAGATATTGGTTCCCGGTTTCCTGACAGTGCCCCGATAATAGCCACATTGCTCCAGTCACGGAAGCCGTGGTGGTTGCCGTACAAGAGGTATTTCCCCAATGCTTCCAATTTCTGTGTACCAACTCCCCCTTTAATGCTTTTCACGTGGCTGAAATGCGTTTCTACCTTAAATGTCGGCATAGTGCTGAAGGTAAATTGTGTGAGCAGGAGTAATGTAGAAATGGGATAATAAGGCGGAATGCCTGTTATGCTGCCTGCTTGGGGTGGATGAATCATAGCTGATTCACATTTAGTTCATGTGTGACTCACACACTTGCGTGTAGTGAGAGTGGTCCCCCTGGATGGATCGAGGAGCTGTTGAATGGTGAGGGTGTAAAATGTGTATTTTAGAATAACAAAAAAAAGAAGTAATGATTGATTAAATGAAGACTTGTGGGGGGCGGGGGAGGGAATGGTTTAAATTTTGTGTCCTTGTCGCATCCTGTCTGCGTCCTTCATGCTAGGTGTTCTTGACCTTTTCTTGTCTCTTTCTTTGAAATAATGAGGTTGGAGCATAAAGAGCATATTTGTCAAACAATAATTATATATATATATATATATAAAATCACATTTTCTCCTAAACCTAGCTCAGTAGTAACTGATGCAATTCAGCAAATTTTTGTCTTGGTTTGGTTAACAGGTAGTTTTGAGTTCTCTTTAACGCCCATACGTACTTTTACTGCTGCTGGTTCTGCATAGTTCAAAATAACGTCCAGGTTTGATATTGTGTCTGATTGAAGGACGTACGCTTCTGCATAATGTACTATGTGTTTCAGTATGCAAACCTGTACTATAATTCTGTAGCTGGTATTGTTGGGCAAAGTTTTAGTCAATGAAAGGAGCAGAACATAATTTTTGTAAGTTTTAAAATAATTTGCTGTGTTATTGCTGACAGGTTGTTGACCCGAGCAACTTTTCAGCAACCTTTACTATTCAAAGAAGGAAGAAAATAAAAAAAATAAGTAGAGCCACAAATTCTACATGACCGTCATAAAAAGGTCATCTTTAAAGTTTGAACAATATCCAGCATATAAAGCTGGATATATGTTTAAGAATATTTATATATATATATATATATATATATATATATATATATATAAAAAATCAAGATTATTTATATTTTTTGACAAAAGGAGACAATATATTTTGTAACTGTCTTTCTGCTGCAGTGATATAATGCAGGTATGTATTAAAACAAAGGAATTATTAAACTGCGTCTTCTTCAAATACTAAAAAACACCTTTTATTTCTAATAAAGGGCTAGAAAAGATACACTCAGCCCTGGAGCTGCAGTTTGCAACATACTCCTAAACTCATTGGAAGCCTTCATAGAAAAGTTGAACCTGCAAAGGGTGGACTCACTTCATGTCAAACCTCATGAATATATGACTATTAACAGGATGTCACTGAAGCTCACATGTCTCGGGAGTAGACGAGTGAATATTTTCAGCAGTGTACCTACCATATTACAATATACGCATTTCAGAAACAAATTTGCAACCGTCTTTTAATTTTGCCAACGTGGCCAATCATAGGTTAATGCCACAAGATAAAAATGAACAGCAAGAAGTTCCCGGGTCCCAATCCCTGCCAGGGATCTTGCATGTTTGAGTTCCGTCCAGGTAACTCTGAGTTGGCTCCTCTAAGTGACCCCTAGGCATGAGTGTGTGTGTATGCATAGTTGTTTGCCCTGTGAGTCTTGGTGTTGCCCCATAATGAACTGGTGACCCAGTCAGAGTGCACCTACTGCTGGCCCAATGACTCCTGGAGATTTGCACCAGTCTCCCCATGACTCTGCAAGGATGACCGGATGTATCCAATGCATAGGTGGATGAACAAGCGCATTACTCAAACCCACAGTGGCATGTATTTACTGAGACTTTCACGATGAGTCCACCAAGGTATTGGCAGTGCTGAACAAAACATGAGCAAATATTTATATCTCATTCAAACAGCTTTCCTTTACACCATAAAACTACTCTGCACTGTGTACTATTTATATCACTGCTTGACTGTCCTCTCCCTGTCTTGTTGCTACACTCTTGGACGTCGTCGTCAAAAACTGCATTAAACCATATGTCACCCTTCAGACCTTTCACTATCTCGCTCGTAACGTGATGAAAACGAGCCAGGCGGATATAATTAGGGATCCATCTTGTGGCTGCTGGTGGGTATCTGGTGGTCTCTTCTCTCTTGTAAATGAAGAGAAACTGTTAAACAACAACCGCTTGTTCCTGTTGGTTTCCCCCCCCTGTGTGTTTGTAGGGAAGGCAGAGTCATCCTGTTAGGTGACTTTGGAAGGCTTGACACTTGGCTACAGCGGGAAAAGGCTTGTTAGGAGCATTAAGACGGGTGAAACTGGATCCCTGTTCAGCTGACTGGTGCAGCCGGTGAAGTTGGCAAGTGTCTCATTCAGGATGCATAGTTGGCCTGGGGCCGTGGCCGCCTCTCTGCGCCGTTACTGGGAACCTGGAATCAGAAGCGAGGAAATGGAGGTGGGAGCTCCGAGGGAGAGAGAGGGGAGATGTGGATGTGGAAACGGCGGGAGAGAGGACGATGAAAGGTTTTCAGAGCAGTGTCCCCTGCCTGGATTCAAGTCAATGACACACAGCTGCTTCCTAGCTCTTTTATAATGGCCTTCATCTCTATTAGGATTATAAGCACATGGCAGAGCGATCATGCAGAAAGAAGGAAAGGTTGTTGCAAAGTGAAATGCGCTTTTAGTTCTTGGAATCGGGACAATTTAACCTCAGAATGAAACTTAAAAGGTGCTACCATCTTATTACTGCAACACTAAGTGCTGTAGGAGAAATTGATGATGAAACGTATTCCGACTCTATGTAAAACTGAACTGTTTTGTTACAGCAAGAGACAAAGGAAGGGGGAAAAAGACTGATTTAAAGCAATAGGTGCACCTAGAATGATCATAAAATAAAAATCCCCACAAGAAAAATCAAGTAAGTAAGTTGTTTCACTACAAAGAGATGCTGTTTTAAGCCACACATCAGCCACATGTGTAATCCGATTCACCGTTATTCCCCAGCCAGCGCTCATCCTCAGGTTTCCTGGGTAAGCTACAATATTGCGGCGTCCACACTGCAGCCAGAGACGACTCATTCTGAACGAACACTGGAGGAAGTCGTTCTGTAAACACTGTGTTAATAAATTGTAAATGGATAAGATGGAGTTTATTTTCAGTCTTTATTCCAATTCCTAGCGCTCTCCTTTCTTGAGATTTGGAGATCCTCTCTGAATCCTGCCCCCCCTCCCCCCAAGGAGTGTTTTTATGTGATGTCTCTTATTTGAGTGGGAAGGAGAATAGAGACTCGGTTACAGTTTCCTCAAAGCCCCCATTATGAGTTGCACCATCATGTTCTACCCATAAAATGAATGGGGGGGAAAAAACTGAAAAATTGCAACATGCTAAAATGAATAATTTCTTAATGTTGCTTTTTACAATATGATAGCTGGAATGTAGCATAACTGAGCAACTGGTTTATAGATAACCAGGTGAATAAATTGATCACTTGCTGTAGGGAAATTTGTGTT